GATTAACATATTTAAACGATAGCAAGTGATGACCATGAAACTAAACCTAATGCACTATTAGTAAACTTATTAACACCTTGTGCTTAATCTGCAGGCTGCCTCGTACCATCCAATCACATCCGCTCAGACGCTCCTTCCGCCCCACATGAAGTAAGGAAAGGGAAGGCTCGGCAAGGATGGTCAAAGGTTAAAATGGATCAAGACACAAGAAGGATATCCATTGGACCAATCACCGCAACGTCAACAACAGAATTAAGCCACATTTCCATTCTTGGATCCACCTTATCTGGCCCGCATCGACACTTTGGTGCTCACGATAGCCACTCCACGTGATCCAGATTTATTTTTTCTATCTTGGGTAAAAAAAAGTTTCTCGAAGTTTTGGTTTGATAGCTTCAATGGTAGAGATTATACCTCAACTCATTCAGCACCACCACCATTTGAAAGTATATCGTATTGATTCCATACAATCTCAATTGGGTCGTCACGTCTAATTTTCATTCGACCTTTTCAATTCATTCTCTTTCGAAAAATTGTTCATTGATTGTTCGCCAATTCCTCAATTCGAGATAATCTACCTAATTTTCGTCAGATTCAATTTTCCACCCTCTTTCTTACATCGCACAACCCACAATCAAACAAAATGTCGACCAAGAGAAAGCTCCCGACCAAGCTTGGTCAACCAATGGTTAAGCAAGGTGTGAAATCATTTGGAATTGGTCACTTGGATGAATCGAAAACTGTGGTATCGGGTGGAGGAGCTGCCAGCAAAGTGAAGACAAATGGAGCGAAGAAGAACGAAGTGGTTGAAATATCCAGCGACGAGGAGGAACAAAGTGACGATGATATGGAGGAAGTCGAGGAAGATGGAAGTGATATTGAAGAAGATGGCAATGTCAACGCCGATGTGACAATGGGAGATGAAGGAGCTGAAGCTGCCGAGGAAGATGGAGAACCAACATTCGGAGATCTTGTTCGAGCAAACGCCTCGGAACCTATCGATGTTGCCGCCGCTTTCGCAGATTCTAAATCTCAAACCCTTTCATACCCTCAAAATTCAATCCAGGCTCCTTCCGGCGCATCCCTCGGAACGGTTCTTACTCAAGCACTCAAGACAAACGATGTCGCCTTATTGGAATCCTGCTTACATACTACGGATCTTAGTACGATTAGAGCTACAATTCAAAGACTCGATTCTCCTCTCGCCGCAATCTTATTACAAAAATTGGCAGAAAGATTACATAGAAGACCTGGTAGAGCTGGTAGTCTCATGGTGTGGGTTCAATGGTCAATGATTACACATGGTGGTTACTTGGCAACTCAAAGAGGTCTCATCAAGAAGTTGTCCGAGGTAAACCGAGTTCTCGATGAGAGATCAAAAGCTCTACAACATCTTTTATCGTTAAAGGGCAAATTGGATATGTTGGACGCTCAAATCGAATTACGAAGAGGCATGCAAAACCGATCAGGATTGGACAGCGAGGATAATGATGAGGGTGTCATCTACGTTGAGGGTCAAAGTGATGACGAGGAGGAAGTGATCGTGAATGGATTACCTCAAAGACTTGCCAAGAACGGAGATCTCGAAGATATTTCGGATTCTGAGATTGAAGAGGAAATGCTTAATGGTATGGTGGCGGAATCTGATGAAGAGGAAGAAGATAGTGAGGATGATTTAATAGATGATGAGGCTGAGGAAACTGATGCGGATTCTGGGGATGAGGATGAAGTTGATCACGATGATATTGACGAGCAAGGAGAAGATGACGAAAGTGATGATGCCGAACAAGGACCACCACGATCCAAGATGCAAAAATTAACAGGCAATCGTTTCCAAAATAGAAGATAATCAAGAGAGTTTTGACTGTTCAATGCATCTTGGGCGTTTGCATGGTTTGGAGTTATTTTTGCATGCTTCTTTTTCCTTCTCTTTTTCTTCTTTTTTTTTCCTAGGTGTGGTGTAGGAGGATCTCAAAAAGAACACTTTTGTTTTGTAGGAGGATACCTATCTTCTGTTTTTTTTCCCACTGTATTGTATTTAACGGCTATGGATACGAGCATATGATTGATATCTTGATTATATATGCTGTTTTTCCCGTAGGCGAATAGACACCTACCTAGTAGATAGATACCTAGATATTTGGCTGAGCTTGTGCTTGAGCTTGCTTGGATACTAGGTACATAGGTATTCAATAGGACTAGATAGGTATCAATATGATGATGGATTTTGTAGTCATATAATATCTACCTACTTAGGTAGTATGTTGTTCTTGTGAGTGAGTATTTGTATTGATAGATATGGTTTTGTGAGATTTGAGATTTGAGATTTGAGATTTGATCGGGTGGATTTTGGAATGCTGGCCCTGGCTACTTACTACCTAGGTATTAACAACTCTTCCTCGTACGATTATATTGTATATACAACCGAGGAAGGTTACTCGTTCCCTAGATTAGGTACCTAGGTAAATACTACGGAGTACTGGTAGTGTAGGTATTCATTCATCCGCTGCGTATACTGGACTGGGTAGGTTATTTGGTGGGATTTCTTTATGTGGGTTGGTATGGAATGGTGGTGGTTTGTTTATATCTCATACGAGTATTTTATATGAGTATCTGGATCTGATAAGGAAGTCTCAAAGTTGTGGGTTAAATGTTTGATATGTCTAGGTACTACGATAGGTAGGCTCGTAGGTACTGAGAGTTGTAGATGGGGTTGATAGATCACGTGAGCTGATATTACTAATAAGGTTAATGCGGAATCTGGAATTGATGGGATTGGATGAGCTTCGCGATGAAAATGGATTGAGATTTGGAATGTGATGGGTTTCATCGGATTTTTAGTTGTGTTTGGGATTGGATTGCTGATGGGATGGGATGGGATGGATTAGGATAGGAGGTACTAGGTAAATGTCGGATTGGATTGGATTGGCTAGATTTATTAATATTTTGATATGTATATTTCTAGAAGAGGGCTAAGTGCTCCAATACGCGCGGGAGGGATGGCGTGGCGTGGCGTGGCGTCTAGAAGGGAAGAGTAAGGAGGAGGAGGATGGATGTACTCTGTATTGGTCTATCTAGTTTTTTTTGCGTGATGGAGGTGCTTGCTTACTTATATGTACTGTACTGTAACCTAGTAGGTATGATTGGATATTTCGTTTATTTTGTGTAGATACCTACTAGGTATGTAGGTGTGTATGAATGAATGGAGGAGAATTACATTTGTGATTTAGAGGGTTTTGGTCATTTATTCTACTTACTAGGTATACCTATATAGAGTAGAAGTTCTAGGGAAGGGTTGCCGATATCGTCGTTGGATATTTAGATGTACTGTTAGAAGTATTAGGTAGGTATTTTGGGGTGGAGAGAGAGAGAGAGAGCCATGTTGTTAGGGAAAATGATTTCTGTGCGGTATATCGTACAGAATAGTATATGTATGAATATCATTTGATTTGTATGCTAGGTATGCTTCAGAGATAGATTGATGATGTGATTAGTCGCTGGTGAGGCTTTTCAGTTACTAGGTTTTTATATGATGTGTCTCACACTTGGTGTACATCGTACTGTTGTATATGTCACAGTTTGGTATGCCTCGTACTATTGATTGGTGTTAGTGTTAGTGTTGGTGATGATAATAGTAATAATACTCACCACAGCAGAAAGAAAGTACGAAGTCTACGGATATTCTACGGTTAAGCAAAACGTACCTCTTATTAGGACTGTACTTGAGCTTTCATCATCATCATCACCAGCCATCGGGGTTTCGGATGACTTTCCAAGGTTCTCTCATCATTATATTATGTTGGTGGTACTTCCTTTTCGTTTATGCATCCAAACATTCAATTCCAGGTTTATTGTAGCACACTTGCATATGTATTACCTAGTAGGAATTGAGTACTGGGTAAGTAGGCTCGAGGATAGGTATGTCTATATTATTTATGTTCGTCTCATTTCATTTCATTTCATCTCATCTCATTATTATTCATTGGCACAACACTCCTCAACATAACGAGATATCCATTCATTATTTATCCATCTACGAACTCATTCCCTCACCCATGAATCGAGACCTTCCCTCAACCTTCCATCATCCATGATCCATCATCCATCTAATGATTATCCCACACAAATTATTTTTAACTTTGGAACTTTTCCTTCCCACCACCCACTCAACAAGGGCACCGTTGCACCAAAAGAAAAAGCTTACGAGTCCTGGTTGCGTGTCGATGCAAGCTCATGGGCCACGGCTAACTTTGACGGGCTATGCAGTGACAGTCTCATTCTAGATTACGAGTATGTATGTCCCCCATACTGTGCCAGAGGTGGTAGGGCTACAGATTTAAACTGGACTGGGAAGGAATTGCTAAGATCTTACATGATCTTATGATTATGATTATTTCATTACCCAGTCTCCAGCCAGTCTCCAGTTTCCTCGACCTATCTGATTCGCATGATTCGTAGGTATCATTCGTACTTTGATCTTGCTTTGATTATCTTTGCTACTTTCGACTTTCTTTATATTGCTCTGCTTAATTTATTCTTCCTCTCTTCCTGTCAAAGACTCGTATCTTTGCTCATAAGCAAGTTTTGTTCTTCGTATTGGTTGCTGCAATCTGTACTCTGCCATTATCAATATACTCATTCTTTGGGGGGACCTTTTTTACGATTGATGTTTCTTCATTCTTTTATTTATATTTAACGAGAGAGGCTCAAAGTATATTTATTTATACACTTTGTCCTTTGAAGAATCAACAGAAAAGAGAAGGTGATAACACATCCGCTCTTGGCGTACGCAACGCCAGCATTCTTGGCAGCATCATAATCCTACCATTTTCAGGAACAAAGTTAACAAGGCTGAATTCTATCAGAAGTACGAAAACTTTGTGTATTCACGAGTACTTGATTTCGGCTTTTTTGTATTTTCTTTAGATGCAATCGCGGCTGAAGGGGAAGGGAGGAGATTATTGAATTTACCCGGGGTTTTGGTGGTTGGACTTGCGACAATGCGCGCTTTTACAAGATTGGGTGCGTCGGTGTTTGCGATGGTCCTATCGTTAATGACCATCTTGGCTTTATTACCTCAATCGAGATACACCGAACATTTGAGGAAGATTGGGATAGGAGGGACGAGTATTAATGATGTGACGGATGGTTTGTGGGATTGGGCAAGTGGAGATGATGATGGAGGGGATGGGGAAGAAGGAGGTGTGAGATTGGTGGTTTTTGGAGATAGTTGGGTTGATGATACGATGAAGAGAATGGGGATGGAAAGGGTAGAAGTTTGGACGAAGTTCTTTGTGAAGAGGTATGTTTTTATTTTCTCTATCTTCTGATTGTTTGATTCATGGGTTTGATCAATTGAGGTTTGACAATTGGCACATTTTCTAATTGATGGTTTTCAGCTCTCGTGTATTTCAAAAATCAATCTAGCAGTATCCCAACCCGCATCTTCATACCCATCATCACCACCCACTGGTGCCTTTTCATCGAACAAAGTCTACCTTTCTTCCATCGAAAATACCGCAGGTCAAAATAACAACGAAACGAAAATTACCCCCGAATCTATGCTCCCTGATCTTGAAGCTCAAGTAAAATCCTTCATCGCCCTTCCTCTGCCAAAAAAGAAACTCAAGGAAACAATCTTCGTCATCTCATTTGGCACGTGGGATGTATGGCATTATGCATCTCTCGATTATAACAAAGCTCAAGAGGCCCAAAAAAAAGCTGTCGCAGAAATGTTCGCACAACTCGATAATTTATACGCACATCATAGGGAAACTTTGGAAGTTGCTCACGTTGTCGAAAAACCACATAACGAATCGCATGTTGTGCCCAAACCACAATTTAGAATCGTCATTCAAAAACTTTTCGATCCTACAATGTTGCCTGGTTGGATCAGTCAAAGACCTATTCCATTGAAACCTAGTTCTGTGTCGGAACACCAGAAAAATGCTGTTTCGTTGGTGAGAGATTGGGATAATAGTGTGGAAAACTTTATCAAGCCTTGGTTTGCTAGCACACCAGAAGCCACCACTACTTCTGAATGGGCTGAACCAGCACCAGTACCAGAAGAACACGGATCTGGAGATGCGGTTCCAGAAACATTCGACCAGAACGATGGACAGCAATCGCAATCGCAGGAAAAGCGAGAGTCGGAAAGCGTTGTTGAGGCGGAAAATAAACCGGATATTCCTCCACCACAGAAAGATATCTATTACTATGATCTTAATAGATTCCTCACGGAAATTATTATAGAACATCAATTGGAAGATGAAGGATTATCTGATGCGAGTGGACTCGGTACAAAAGAAAGTCCATATGTTTCCGTATATGATCCTTGTGTACGAGCGGGAGATGACAGGACGAGCAAGAAAAGAGGACCTGGGGAGAAGCGAAAATCGGGAAATATCAATAAGAGAAGTGAGAAGAGAGGAGAAATGAAAGATACGAGGGCATTACCAGATATTAATGGATTACTCGTCTGTGACCAACCGGATGAGTATCTTTTTTGGGATGATTTTAATATGGGGGGACAGGCGAAAGGAGACGGTGGGGGAAGGAGATTGCGAAGATGATTAGAGGGGGAAGACGTTGAGGAAGAGTTGGGGAGATGGGACTGTACCGGGTGTGTGAGTGGGTGTGAGTTGTGGGGAAGAGGGGGAAGTAAGATTTACGAAATTAAAGCATTTTTGGAGTTTTCGAGTGGAAAGAAGCGTGCATTCATTGCATAGCATGGCATGGCCATGGCATGGAAGGCGTTTGGGGATTGGGATTGGATTGCGATTGTGATTGTGATTGCAATAGATACTCTTTTTGCGGAGTGAGTTTTTACATTTGTATATACCTTTCTTTTTTTGATTTTTTGGTTTGGATGGTGGGGGTGGAGGGAGAGGGGAGGGGAGGGCTATGGGGGGTGAGGTGGGGTTGGTTATATAGTTTTATAGGATTTAATCTATATATACCCACGCGATTTTCTTTTGTGGATTTGATGAATGTGGAGGGGGAGAGGTTGAGGAGAGGTAGAGGGAGATGATGTATATAGGTGTGGTTGGGAAGTAGAAATAGAAGGTAGAAAATGGAATTTTACTTATTGTTAGGTATGTGGATATATGTATTTGGTTGCTTGTTGATGGTGATAAAGATGAAGATGGTGATGGTGGTGGTGGTGGTGGTGAAGATATGGAATGATGAGGATTTGTGGTGGAATTTGGGGGGAAATTTGGGGGAAAGGTTGGGGTAGATGGGGTGGAGGGGGTGGAGGGGGAGGGTGTGAGATGGTGTGAGATGATGTGAAAGGGTTTGTAGGAATGTGAATGAGGATGAGGATGAGAAATGAAATTATGTGGATTTATTGGGGGGGTGGGGGAGGGGGGGAGAAGGGGGGGGTGAATAATAATGAATAAATGTTAATAAGTGAGTGAGTGAGTGAGTGATAATGAATGAAGACGGAGATGGAGATGGAGATGGAGATGGAGATGGAGAATGGAGATGGAAATGGAAAAAAGATAGAGATTGAGATAAAGATAGAGATATAGATAGATATAGAGATGGGAATGGAAGTAAAATCATATTCGATCAAACTAGGTTTATATAGCAGGAGAATGAGATGAATGAGGTGAATGAGGAGGAAAAAGAAAAAGAAGGAAAACAATGGAGAAGCGAGATGGGGAGGAAGATTGGGAGGAAGATCGGGAGGAAGATATAGCATGCGATGTATAGGCTGATGTGCACGAGTTGTATGGATGGATTATTGAGGTGTATATATGGTTTGTATGGATTGTTAAATTGGTAAGAGGATTGATTGTGGAGTTTGTAATCTGTGGGGAGAGAAATAGAATATTGTGAAAGAGGAGAGGGGGAGAGGGAGAGTGGGGGAGAGGAAGAGGAGAGGAGAGGAGAAGGAGGAAAGGGAGAAGAATAGGGAGTAGGGAATAAATAAGAGATATGGAGAAAGAAGACGGGTTAAAGGAGAAGTCAACATGGGGGGCACGGGTGTTGGAGTCCGAACCTTAGTTATAACTTGGGACTTGACAGTTAGGATTTGGAAGTTGGGACTTGAAATTTGAAAAGAGAATGGAGAAAGGGAGAGAGAGAGGAAGCAATTATGGAGAAAAAGGTAAAGAGGGAAAAGGGAGAGGGTGGAGAATGATGGGCTGAAGTAGAACCAATTGGTGGGATAGCAGGATGACATAGATGGATGTGCGATGGTTCTTGGGAGTGTTGAAGTGGGGCGGATTGTAGATCGAGGGGGATGGGTAATGGGGAGGGGGAATGAGGAATATTGCCATGTGTGTTGGAGTTGGTATATTGTGTCTATGTGTTTTTGAAGATTAGAAACCAAGGTTGACCCTTGGGGTGGTCTGTGTCGCAGCACGCCTTGGTACGGATGCGCACACTCTTTCTCGGTGGTGTATTGGTACTCGTATGATTTCCGAGTGGCGGGTTGGGTTTTCGTGGATCCGGTGGTGGGGTGGGTTGAGAGGTTATTGAATTTGATCCGAATTGAGTTTGAGTTTGTGAGTGTTGTTTGTTTGTGTTGGGTTGTGTTGATTTGAATTGAGATGAGTCGGCTTGGATTGATTCGATTTGTTGTGTGTTGAGGGAGACTTGAGGGAGAGTTGAGAGTTAAAGGTAAACTCGCTCGCGAGAACAGGCGGCGGAGGAAGAAGTGGACACGAATAATCGTGGTTGTTTATTGGCTTGGCTTGGAATCGAGATTGAGTGGATATTGGATAGGCAGTTTGGTAGGGGAAAGGTATGATGGAGAGACAGAAGATAATAAGTGATATTTGAAATTTTACCAGAGCAAAGAGTAAAGAATCGAGACAGAAATAACTTTCAGACGCACATAGATGGATGGAAAAGTAGAGCTAACTTTCAAGTAGTACAAAATGGAATTTTGAAGTAGAGAGCGTGGGTTTTGTATGTATGTATGTGTTGTTTGTGGAGAATGAAAGATAGAGAGTAGACAGTTGAGATGAAGTGGAAGGAGTGAAGGATTTGGAAAGGAGAGAAGGATTTAGAACTTAAAGCGAGAGGTAGGAGAGAGAATTGCTGGCTGTCTAGCAACTGATGACTCAACAGATATCAATTTCGTTGATTTTGATGTTGCTCTTGGGATTTATGCCAAGTGGAGATCTGTCTGTGCAGGTGTTTAAACGAAAATTAGGAGAGTAAAAGTTGAAGCGTAGGTTGTGATGAGAAGTGAGAGGTAACAAGTACCTGTAGATTGGATATTGGGCATTGAAGAGTGCTTTCGGATAGAAACTTCAAAGGAGACGAGCCAGATTGAGGGAGTGGAGATGTAAGAAGTATTTTGTTGTTTGTTTCCTAGAAGTATGTGATATCAGGTGTGAGATTTCGATTTGGATATGTTCAGGAATCGACAGGAATGAGAATTTGTAGTAATGACTGCCTGGTTATGAATGTGTCCTGGAAGTCGGTTGAGGGGTCCTCGGCATTCGTATTCTTGGAATATGGAAGATCATGAGTGAAGATGTGTTTTTCGATCTCCTGGTATTTAAGTGGATCAGCCTGTATGGTAGTAATACGGCATTGGAGTAGGATATCTACTTCTCCAAAAAGATGCGAAAGACAGAGAGCATGGAAGTAAACCGGTTCACGTGCGTCTCTTAAAAAGTTATTTCTGGCTGGGTGGTCGAATAAAAGATACATTTTGGAAAGGAAAGCGAGTTTAGGCTTGAGATTGATCATGATTCTTTTGAATTGCTTGGGGCTGCGAAGCACTTCTCTTTGGAGGTGCACGGAGCCAGCAGATTGAGCAGTATGTTGGAAGAAAAGAAAGTGTCACATGAATGATACAATATATATGCAAGCGACCGATGAGTTAGTCGCGTGGCGGTGTTCAAGGCAATTGCCAGTCAACACTATCGAATAGATGCATCGTTATTCTTCATTGATCATGCAATAACCATTCGTTTGTAGTGGTGTGGTGCGGGGAAAACGGTAATGGAGAGACTGAGATGGTGATGTGAGGGTATTAACAAGCCTTGGTATGTTCTTGATCGTGAGTTGGATAGGCCCACATCGCACGAATAACCTTATCATGTGATCTAGTGGTAGCATTTTTGTTGCAAATCAAGTGTAGTGAGGAGTGAGACTGAATGCTGCTGGATAAAGTTGTGTTCCAATGGAGGGAGGCAATATTCTACCCTCCAATCTGATCGCTTGCTCGCGGTCACAGAGCCTCGCAGGCCCCAGAACCTTCAGCTTCACTGGATGTTGTGCAAGAACTCCATTTTCCAATCCCCTGTTCAATTGGGGGCTGACGTTGTGAGAGGGTTGTCAGCATAGCCTTGTCTGATGGCGATTGAAAAGCTCATAAGAAATTATCTTGTCAAAATGCAAGTTCTCGCATTTCAGAAAGAGCTCAAAATATCAAGAACTCTCAATCAACTCTATAACATCATTTCAGGTGTCGATATGGATCCTTTATCAATTAGCGCGAGTATCTCTGGGCTGATAAGTATCGTCAAGAATCTATCCGGGACTACTTTTAAATATGTTAAATCTGCAAAAGGAGCCTCAGAGGAGATCAAGCAGCTCGCAGAACAGATGATTGTTCTGTTTGGCATTCTAAATAGCTTGAGCTTAGTGGCTTCACGATTCGATGATGAGTCACGGACCTCAACCATGTAGCTTCAGCATCTCAGTTCCTGCCATTGACTTCTTGATAATATACAGGTTCGATTAGATAAGGCTGATCCAAACAATCCTGATCTGACTTTAGCATCGCAGGCTGATGGGATGAATGCACTACTTGACGCTCTTGGAAATCAAAGAATGCATATGATAAAATTGGATGATATTAATGCGAACATTTTGGCTGAGAGAAAAGAAAGAACACTGAGAGCAATGAGTATGTATAAAGAATCCCCTGCGCGTTTTGAGTGGGGTTGTTCTTCGTGAGACTAATTTTTCAAAAAGATGAACAGCAGAAAGAAATGATTCAGTTGATATAACCCCATGATCCAAGTAAGAAATATCATGAAGTTGCTGCGAAACCTCGTCATCCTGATAGCGGCCAAGTCAGTTACCCGTCTTTCCATATCGAAATTTATTCTCAAGTACTGAATCTCAACAGTGGTTTTTCACCTGTGAGCCATTAAAAGAATGGCTAGCATCAAAAGGGTCTAAATTGTGGCTCCATGGGATTCGTAAGTGGTCCTCTATATTCGTAGTATCGAGTGATTGTTCTCTCAATATTGACTTTGAATAGCCGGAGCTGGGAAAACAGTGTTATCGTAAGTAAATCAAAACTGAAATTGTATAAAAGAACGTTCTAAACTCAAATTAGGAGTTCTATTATCACATTTATCGCCACTAAGCTCCAGGGGCTCAAAGAAGACGAGTGTAAGCCATCTCACACATTGCTGGCCCCTTGGAAGGAAAGAAAGCTGACAACGCACAGGTCTAGCATTTTTCTATTGTGATTATAAAGATTCTAGGACACATGATTCCTTGGTTATACTTGGTTCTCTAATCAAGCAGCTCTCTCTATCCAATCAGCGTTGCCTCCTGAAACTCGAAAGTTTTTGGAAGCAACAATGTTCAGATAAATTTGGAGGGCAGGATGCTTTGAATTCAGCCACCTCAGAACAGCTCTGCAATCTCATTAGAGATATGTCGAGCTGCGTTGACAATATCAACATAATCGTTGATGCTCTGGATGAGTGCGGTGATGGACGATCGAAGGTTGTGGAGCTCCTGTCACAATTGACCACCGACGAATATAACAATATCAGAGTCATTCTCACATCAAGAGAAGAATTTGATATCGAACATTACCTGAAAGATTTCAAAAAGGTGTCCATTGCCGCGGATAAAAGCGATTTGAGGCTCTATGTCCACGCGGAATTGAAGAGACGCTTGGATGACAATAGCTTGATCGTTATCAAGGAGTCCCCCAAACAAGAAATTGCACATCGATTAGTAAACGATGCTGAAGGCACGTTTGAGTATCAATCATCGAAGCTTTTATTGGGAGCCAATGAAGTGCTAATTCTTCTCTAGTTTGATGGGTAGTGTGCCAGTTTGATCACTTATGTGACCTTAACAACGATAAAGCAATCCGAGAAGCCTTGCAATCTCTACCTCCAACTCTATTTGGGACTTATGAGCGAATTCTCGACCGCGCCAATAGCAAAAGCAGCGATACCAAAAGACTGGTTCGCCGTGTACTAGCATGGACAGTTTGTAGTCCTTTCCCTTTACTTACAGGAGAGCTCTTAGAAGCTATAGCCATCAACCTGAACGATAATACCTTGAGCCAAGATTCTATGGCTAATGAAAAACATATACTTAAATGGTGTAGTAGCCTTTTTCTTCTTAGTTATTAACATTCCCGTTTAGCTCAGTGTTACAGAACTAAAAGTCAAGTTTTAGTCTGCTTAGCCGAGAATTTAAGATACCAGGAGATATCAATGAATATGTGAACCATGCGGGGGAAGATGGCGCACCGCTCTATTTAGCAGCCATTGGAAAGAAAATCAACACAAGGGTTGAATGTATGGAGCTCATAATCCGCCATGGTGCTGAGATAAATCTTGTCAGTGGTCCTCAGGGAACCCCTCTCATGGCCGCATACTATCATGGTGCATACGATTCCGTGGTGTATTTATTGAAGCATGGGGCAAGCACCACGTGCAAAAAGCGCGACGGAATCGAAACCACTGCCATGCAGGCAGCCTACTTGCACAAGGATATAATACTATTGCTGCAAAGCTTTCAAGACAACGGGCCAAAGGCTTTGGAGGAGCCAAGAACAGTCATGAATGCAAATATTCTAATGCTCGAGTGGTGTATGTTGAGACTGGAGAATAATGAGAAGGAAGCGGAACGAGAAAATCACCTAAGTCTGTTTGAGGAGGCTTCCTCTCAGCCTTGGTGGACCGAAGATATAGATACACATGAGGATTAGGACACAAACTATCACAGAGTTGATGTACCAGAATTCTATTACTTGTCACTTCAAAACTTTCAATGTTATAGCACTTATTTACCTGGTGAGAGGTTTTCCAGTCCTGGCTAGAATGCATTCTTCTATTTTACTGTCTATCTGGAGTCATCATGTATTAATTATCTACATCATCATGTATTTAGATGTAGACAATCACTTCCAAAAGAGCCATGTCATCAATATAAGTTCTCTGACTAACTGACTACCTTCGGACCGTCGACCAAATTTTTTGATCAGCCGAAGATGAAGCGTTGAATCAGTTGGTTGATTACTCCGATCGTACATGGAAGGATAGAACTTCGAATTTTGGTCTTGATGAGATTGGAAATAGAAGCTTGAGGTCTATAATTACAGTACTAGGGCACAGCTGTTTGCCGAATACCAAAATCACACCAAAACTCATATAAAATATCTATATATTTTTTAATAATAATATGGACTTTATTATAAATAAAAATTCTAAAGATAAACTATTTAATTTTATTAAATTTCAATTGAAAATAAAATCTATATAGAAAGTTAGTATAAATTGAAAATATTGAAATTTACTAGTAAAATAAGCGAAAATCAAGAACTTTTCTTTTGATTTAGATTCAATCTTATAAAGAATAATATTTCTATATTTCAGAATCAAAAGAATTATAAATTCTGAGTATTTCATTAAATAATAAAACTATATTCAAAATTATGATTAATTTTAATGATTTTAAACATTTTATTTTTATTTATACAAATAGGGCAAAATGACCATTTTTGGTGTGATTTTGAAACCGACGAACAGCTGTGCATGGTTACTGTAGTATTTGGCCAGTGTTTGTTTGAGGATGATTGAATTGTAGGATGAGAGAGTATGGGTATGATGGGAGTATGCTCTTGATCTAAATCGATCAAAAGCGATTGGTATCGTATAATCAGAAAACGATGCTTGTGAAGATTCTGAAGCCAGCGATTGAAGCGGAAAAATTGGTAGACATGAGTTTATGTGTGTGATGGCTAGAAATAAAAGACTTAAGCGAGCTCAGGCAATGAAACTAACGCGGAGGAGGCGGCAGTTGAGGCTTTGGGCTAGAATCTGGAGTGCAAATCAATATTCTGGCACCAAAATAATGACGGAATGTACGATTGTCTAAGGGAGTATCGAATTCAGTACAGAATCTCACAATGTCAGGTCTACTTTCCAACGATTTGAAGTATAAATCCTGTGGAGTTGAGGGTTTCTTCCCTCACATAAACATCAGTCGGTTCTCCCGAATTTAAGGCTATCCAGAAACTTGGCCCAACGGTGGTACTCGTATCTTTGAGTTCTCGCAGGCCATCTTGCTAATGGTGCGACTTGAGTTAACTTTGCTTCCATTGGTATTTGTCGGATCCATTTTACGATAAGTTTAGATTTTACCCTGGTTTTATGTAGTAAGGATTGATTTGATTGTAATAGTTCTAGAATTCTATTAGGAAATTCCCACGTCACTCAGCCAGATACCGGATATGTGCAACATATGACTTTGTTCGCTTCATGACTAGCGTGACAGCAAGATGTAAGGCTTGTGTACAGGGTTAACCTTGGCATCACTTTCCCAACATTTTTTTTCTCACACTACCAATGACTGTTGTAGGCAAGAATGCTTCTCTCATTAATTTTACAAAAGAAATATTGAAGTTAGCACTTCGACAACTTCCAGCTCATGATTTTAAATAGGGTACTTGGAAACTATTCGACTTCGGTTTCTTGTGCAACCGACTTTTTGGGCTCTTCCTCTAAGACTTTCATTCAACCAGGCTCGCTAGAAGCAAATCTATTTGTTGCGGGCATTAAATTGGATGCCTATTACAAATCTTGGGGTTTCACGGATAAACAACTCACTTTTGATTTTGATGCATGTCTTACTTGGATATGTAGTGCCGCACCGTTTTTTTTCCTCTGGTAGGACCAACCGTTGGTATATCTTGGGCTTAGTAAGAAAAAAGAGATTGCTGAGCCTCAGCTGTGACCATTCAAATTTTATCGCATCATGTTGCTGCCCATATTGATCTTGATGGGAACGTTGATTGTTATTTGATTGATACTCGATTTGTTGGCGGAGCTTTTCAGATGTTCTTGATTTCATAATTAAGAGCTCCCCGATCGCATCGATTGTCAGTGAAAACTTATAAATTGGTTGTCAGTCTAGCCGGATACCTACTGCGGCATCTTTCACGAGTGGAACGACCAATGCTATAGTAATTTATCAAGCGAAGAAAATCGCCTTACGAGTCTTTTTCTTCTCAATTATCGTTTAAAAAGCTTATTCTTCACACTTAAGTTGATGGCATCTGCTACATAGCCAAGGAAAAATATCAAACGCTTTTCGGTAAACTTACCAGCCTACTAAAAGGCTTTCACTTTCCACATTGTCGATTTTGGCTTTGTACGACCTCATAAGGCGAAGTTTCACGGGATCAATCAATGGACGAGGAATCGAGCCCAGATCGTTTAAGTGTTTTTGATGTTTCTCTTTCTCATCCATTGACTCGGGCTCCTGATATCAGACGCCGTCAAGGAGGCCAGGGTCGCGTTAGTTGTGGATATTACTATGGGGATACGCAATCTCCTTTGTATATGGGAACAGACTCAACCTGTACAACTGCATATCCTCTGGGAATTTGGGGTTCCTGTATCTATAGTAGCAACGTTCCAGTTTGTTCGCTTTATGGTGCTTGTGTAGACGATACTGGATGCACTGACGGATGTACGCCCAATGTCAATTCTAATATAAATGCTATCACAGTAACATTGTCTTGGTAGGGGTTTCCGGAATTTGAAGTGGATGAAATGGGCTAACAGCTACATAGTTTCCACAGACTACTGCCAAAGCTACTTGCTGTCTGATCAATCAAGCCCCAGTCTTGGCACCCAGACTTCATATACTTGCAACAGTACCTCGCAAAGAGCACCAGTACTTATTTTTGCATCAGCACTAGATACTCCAATGAGCGTGCTAGCCAGCACAACTTCACTTTCTGACATATTGGTTACCTCATCATTGAAATCTGGATTTATTGCAACTCCTACATTTTCTGGTCTACGATCAACTTCAAGTCCTTATACTTCATTAACTACCTCCCCATCAAGCTCCAGCTCTAGCTCCGATTCAACGCCAAGTATATCCCAACAAACAACAACCGTATCGTCAAACCATGTCAATTCTCCTCATAGCAATACCGGCACAATAGTAGGCGGTACTCTCGGAGGCATTGCCTTCATTACCCTAATAATTCTCACAATTTGGCTCTTCCGTAGACACAGAAAAAGGCACGCTGTAATATCAAAGACCGAATCGCGCTTCGATGTGAGAGATCCTAGTGATCACGTGCATGAGTTAATGGAAAAGAGCGGGAATACACCTGAAATCGGAGGAGACATGCTCAGAGCAGAGATGGAAAGTCCAAGAATGAATAGGGAACCAGCTGAGATAGAAAGTTCTATACTCAATAGAGAAAGGTTTGAGATGGGGGCGTAAGGATTATGATTGAAGGGTGGGGAATAGGAAGATAAAACTGTCCTATTGCGCATGTGTATAGATGTCAGCCTCGTATCGTGTGCCATTTTTGCACTCATCATACTACCACTAGAACATCTGAAATTGAGATCCACAGATTAAACGTTGAATATTTGTGAAAAATCACTCAATAGATGCGAGGTCTCAAGTTACTCATTTAGTCAAATTTAATGGTAGTAAATGACCAAAAGGATTCTGGGGAGGATCGCCCCCGATCGTTTCATGTGGGAATACTGTCACGCATTTGGAGAATCTTTGGCGACCGAGAATGCCGTGAACCTCGACCTGGAACCATAAACCATGCAGGATGACATGCGTGTAAAATTACGATTAAATCGCGATAAAATTGACGCACCGGATAATATGTCAATTCCACTCCAGAGCCTTTTCGTCTCGATCAGTTTTTCACACACACGTCATCAGCTTGAGAGCAGCCATTTTATGATATCTGTAACTCACATCTCCATAATACTTTCATCGAACAGAAATTTACCATGTCGGAGGAAACCTCTACGGGTACCAGTATAGTCCAGACAATGGCGACTGCAACTTTGCATGAGCCATCGTACATTACTGTGACGTCAGTTAGCACCATGATAGCCTCGAGCTACATTTCATACATAAGCACTGAAAGCGCATCGTCAATATATTTCTACATAACCGTCAGCAAGACAGTAATTGCAACATCTGTTTCATCGTCTATCGAGTCATCTTCCTTAACGACACTTACCTCCCATTCATTAACGCAAGAAACAATACCTGAACCTTCATTGACCCAGAAATCCAATGACACATCTATTTCTCAGTCATTGGTTCAAGAGACAGTGTTCATTCCATCACCAACTCAATCATCTATCGCAACCTCTCATCAAAATACAACAGCAATTGTCGCAGGTGCTTTGGGGGGACTTATCTTTGTGTGTATGCTTCTCGCAGGGTTCTACTTTCTCCGTGGTTATCGACTGAGGCACCAAATCTCAACTGAAGATAGAAATGGTCATTCAATACTTTCTGAGAAAGATGACGGAAAGGGTCCTGTTCATGAGATGACAGGAGAGGGAAAACTTGGGTGTCCTCGGCAGGAAATTGAGGGGAATAGTCTTTCTGAACTCGAACAAGGAGGTAGAAGAAAGCGTCAGGAACCAGTTGAGCTTTTATCTTCTTTCCCTCGCATCGGTACAAGCTACTGGCTGTAAAATGTTCTGCGCCGAAGTTTCACTTGGCGAATATGATTCTCATGTCCTCTGTAAAAGTCTCCGTCTATCTAATGATCTTGGGGGCATCAACTTGCCATATTTAAAGCCTTGAGGGTCCCACCAAACTATTCTGGTAGACTAATCCAGTTTAGTCGTCAGATATTCCTACCTCCTTTTCGGCTATGCTACTCCAGTTCTATTTATATCATATAAATTGCCTTACTTCTTTTTACATTAAACTTACGGTCTTTCTTACTATCCGGTGTCTCGTGTGGCATCCTGTTGAGTAAATAGAAGTCTCCTTAAGCTCGAAGGTGCGGCATCCACGTCACCTCGACTTACATCAACAGCACTATACATCCACTCGCCCAGCAAGATAGCCTAGTAGATTTTGCTTCTTAAGAATTGTCCTCGGTGGCTCTCTTATTTGCAAGCCATTTTGTCTACTTTAGGTCTCGAAAACGATACCCCTTGCCACCAGCTATAATAGATGATAAGTTTTGATTACCACAGTTAGACGATCATAAAGAACCTACTAGAGAGTTGATGCGAGGGAGGAGATGAGAAAAGGCAGAAATGAGATTGACGGGTATCTACGTGCGGAATCTGCGGTGCAGGAGACAAGGAAGGCTTCGGGTTTTGGTAGGCTTGCTTGATAATTTGGAGTTTATTTGTCACTGCTTTTTACAACCAAATCTAAGACTTATAGACTTCCCTTCCAAGTGGGTTCGCTGACCCTGTAAAATATCAGTAGCGATGGATGATTTGCACGCAGGTCACTACCAATGATACATGACGTCAAGCTGCTGACATATTGTAACCGAACAGAGTGATGAGACAAGATTCCTAACAGAAGTTGATCGCTCGAACTAAACTTTGTAGCACCGATAATGAGAAAAAGATTTGCTACTTGTCTATTCGATTTGTTTTTTGACAAAGATTCAAGGCATCTTTAGAGATCAAGCTTAGAAATTTTAGCACCAGGTCACGTAATCTCGAGCCAAATAATGAGCAGAAAGAGTGAGTTCTGTGCCAGCTCTGCGGTCTTTCTCTGCATTCGATATAGCAGACTTATCTTATGCCATATCTTGAGAATGCCAAATGGTGACGTTCAATACTTTTCTAGTCATCGTATGATATAGAGCAAAGCCCCAAAGAAAACTATCACCTGAATAGGGCGGCGAGGCTAAAAACTTGTTCGCGTTCGTCTTAGAAACCAAGTATTGGATCGACCAACATCAGACGATTAATGATACTCCGTGGCTGAGTTGATATCCAATAAATTGGTGAATTATTTGGATCAGAATTTTCACTAAGCGGAACTTGGGTTTCCGGTTCAAGAATATTTTGTTCCTGGCTCTCAACTCTCTCCGTATCCATCTTCAAACTTCTTGAAAGGTTAGCCCTGCAAATCATTCTGGGAGGTTTTTGTTCAACTTAGCTAATTGTTGCAGATGGCGATTGTTTATTCATTGAGAAGGGCTTTTACCGGTACGGGCCCTGATCGTGAAACATCCTCTGGTGGTCAGGATGTCAGCTCTGGGCATACATCTGTAGCAGAGATTCCAACAGATATATTTGATGCATCCCAGTGCGGAATGAAACGACTAAGAAGACTCATCACAATCACGCACACCTCAACAATCATCGTCCCCTCCTCAACGCTCGGTGTTGTACCGACGAGAACACCTATGGGAGCAACGGGAACTCTTATCGTACCATCTACCACTAGAACCTCGACTTCCATCGCACAGCCCACCATACCCCCCACTGGAATAGCTGCGATTGCTCTTAGTGAGATCTCAATCTAGAACTCAATTGCCGCAACCGCAACAGATCCAATATTGAAGGGTGCATTGAAATCGGCCATTAGCCAAGAGAGTCGCGCTGCTAACTTAACTCCCGGTGCTTACACTGCTGTTATCACAATCTCACCCGCGGAACAAACTGCTATAGACAAGGCAAATAAAGACAGCGCTCGTCATTTACATACCACCACTATAATCTTGAGTGTTTTCGCTGTTGTGCTATTCCTAGGATGTATCTACATGCTCGGCTGGTACTTTCTGCGAAAGCATCGTCGACGAAGAGGAAGAAGAATGCCACCAATCACCGAATATATTCCTCCCAATTTGGGTTCTTTGGGTGGTCTAATGGCGGAGATGGGGCGGGAAGATGTTGTTGAGCGAGAGGAACACGACAGTAGAGCTGATGGGATTCATAGGGTTCCGAGAGTTCCGAAGCCTCCAAGAGCTCATAGTACTTTGCAAGAACTAGAGATTCCAGAAGGGTTTGCGGAGTTACCTGGCTCTGTTCCAGAAATACAACCAGCGAGACGTGCGGAACTACAACGTGAAGGCGAAGGGGTAGCGAACTCAGAGAAAATTCTCTTTGAAGTTTGAGAGAAAGATCCTAGTGATGGCTTTCAAACTTGATGGACGGGCATTTTTGGGCTAAGGGAATAGAATTTGCACTCGGGGATGTTGCAAATGTTATTTCATTTACTTTTGATACTCTTTTGGTCTAGACCTAGATCTTGGAAATACTCGAGGATGGGATATACGAACTCTGTTGGGAGGTTATTCAGATGAAGCTTTTGCATCTTTCAACTAGAACTATAATTTTCTCGACCCTTTACAACTTCTAATGTGTATTTACGATAATCCTACTGAGTAATGGCAGTTGCGGACGTGAAGCAAGAGTTGGCAAGCAATGAGAGTAAAACTCCCGCATGAATAACTTTGATATAAATTTGGCAATGAATAAAGCTTCAAGTGACATGTGCATGGTCTAATAAAGATTTGATTTACTCCACTGATAAATGATACCTACCTACGTGATGCATATATAACTTCAAACTCAAGGCTTCATTAAGCTCATCTTACTAATGTGGAGATATCTTTGAAACCTCATTTTCGTACAAAAGAATTGATGAGGTCGTCGAAATACAGTTTTCACGATTGCAATGTAAATAATGAAATTAAGTGGATTAGTTGTACACGGCTTGAGTCCTGTTCCCTTCATCCTATCTTGTTAATAAGGATTATTCTCTACCGTGCAAAGAGCACAACAAAACTTAGTAGTCAAGTCTTAGACTAAACAACCTGAGTATCTAGAATTTGATATGAAGCTTGCTGTCTAGAAAGGTCCCTAGGAGCTTTCATTCGCAATTAACCATAATTACGACAAACATGCTTTCATCATCGATATCCTAGAGATCATTTTTCCCATCACAAGCTTCTTTCACTCTCTCATACCCTCAGAGCATCTTAAATTCGTACACCATCCCTTATCAATCCAACAGCTCTGACTCTGGGACCTCCAGGTCGTCCTAAATTTGCTTTGCTGTCCCTTTATAGATATTTTGATTATCTACCATGTCATACAGTTCGATGAAAGCCCCAAGATATCTCTCGTAGTAGACCAGAGATTTGTCTTTATTTAATTCCAACAACTCCAAATTCCCAGAGGATATACGATTTGATGGGCTGTTGTTGATTTTAATGACAATCAAGACTTCTTTCAGGGCGGTACAGTCTCTAATCAAGCTGTTGACAATGAAAAAGCTATTTCTCGAGATTGCATGACTGATATTAAAAGCAACTCTGTGTGCAGACTTGGATATGTCTTTCAAATGGGTACTCATGTATGGAAACTCAGGAAGTTCTTGTATAGGTGGTACAGTTTGAAATTGGAGATACCAGCTGTCGTAATATATTGTGTCTGCTGGAAGATTTGCATGAATCATGAGATCATTGACGACAGCTTCGTGGTCGGAAAATTCTGTTATTTCAGAGTCATGTACGCGAAGTCCAAAACAGGGCTTGTGAAACTTTAAAGCTTCCTTGCGAGATTCGTGATTAATTTGGAGTACTTTGGCAGCAGTGTTTGTTGTTTGTATACAGACTGATCTTTTTTGTGCTGCATTGTGAACTGTGCGCTCTTGCAAGACAACAACCCGAGGCATAAAGGCCATAATTCTCCAAATCTTCAAGCGCAATTCTGGCGCGAGACGCGGAAAACAAGTAAATGTATCAAAGGTTTTGCCATTGCCAATATTCAAAGAATCTGAAGACTTCTTTTGACTTGCAGACACCAAGCAGCTGTTGGTGGATGGGGCACGGTCAAAGAAGTCGTCTACCGTCATCACATATTCTGCCTCGTCGTGCCAAGACAGATCAGCAATCTGATGTTCTCTTGTGTATGTTTCGGGCCAGCTAAAGATTCTTTCCAATTCAGAATCATCGGCGTAACGGACGGGCTTGGCTTCCTTCAACTCATCTCGAGAAATTCGATGGAGAGGTATATGCTTAACTAAGCTCGTGAATGAAACTTCGTTGTTCGTACCTTCATCGGCAGCTGTTGTGATATCTCCAAGAGGTGCGAGGAAGTGATTCGCGTTGTAATTGCGTATTATGCCATCGTTATCCATTGTTTTAAAAGGAGAGGATGATGAACGAGGTTGCTATTGGTGATCGGAAAGAATTATGTGAACCAGGTGTGCAGGTTGCAGGTTGCAGGTCGGGAAGCTGAGTTAAGTCTTGGGATTAAATAACAGAAATTAAGTGGAACAAAAATGAAACGTTGGAGTGAATTTTCAATTAAGGCTGAGTACCTATTAGACGAATACTCTCAGATTTGATTTCCATCTGTGAGAAACCGGATTTTGTATCATTCCAAGGTTATATATGTCTAAAAACACAATGGTAACATCATTTTGAGATTGGCAGAAAAAGTACCAATACAGAGTGAATTCCATTTTATGATCGTATTTTAATTTACATATAAGATGATTTCTATCATCTGGCTTCGTGATATCTAGTTGTTCTTTATGGAACTGATCCTGTCTCCACTGCATGAGTGTAGAAAAGCGATGACAACTACCTTCTCCAAGAACTGTATTGTCGACATTTCGGTTCAAAGCTTCAGCAGTACTCATAGCACACTTATGAAATATTGCCTCAAGTTTTTCTCCCATTGAACAAAAGACCCTTTGCTAACCATGATTTTCAGTTTCAGTCCTAGACCTTGGTTCACATCAAAGGAAGATCATTTCGACCTGGGTAAAGATTATTTGTACCTGGATTCAGCATCACCGTTGAATATAAGTACAAAGAGTCTTTATGACAAGCCAGACATGGGAGAAAAATCGTAAAATCTTCATCTCAGATTTGACATTGCATAAAACTTAAGACAAGCGCCAACCCTGAACAAAACGTGACACTTGTATCAGTTGACATTTTTGGTTTTATAACCTTCGAAGTTTGTGCCACACAAACACTCATATACTATACCGGAGAACCCCAGACCTTTCCTCTTTCCTCCTTCAGACCTATTTCCAACAAAAGACCAATTATATCATCCAGTGCGAATCTCTCAAGTATGATGATTCATAATATCTTGACTGTACAGCACAGTCTGCCTTTTCTCCAGGACAGATATCCAATAATGTTATGGAATATTTCTTCGCATGAACGGCTTGTGACAACAACTTTACCGTTGTAGGACCTTCCGAGATTCCCTAAGAAGTGAATCGTACACTAAAATACGCTGTAAAATAGATTGTAATTGCTGTTCTTAGAGCTATTTGATTCGTGATTCTGCCCTTCTTGCATAGCTATCGCTCGGGAAACAAGTAGCGCCAAATACTCCTCGCATACATAATGTATATTTCGATCGATGAGTGATTGTCGGTAGGTAGAGTAGACAGTATACATGATCATGAAGATCAAGAATAATGCAAGCAGAAGAGGCCTCCGCTTGGCGTAAACAATCAATTCACAGTCTGACTTCCACTTGGGCTTGGAAGAGGCCGGCCTATCATTGACTGAACGAATCTTAAGCAGTGGGACTCTGATCTCTCCTCTTTCTATCTTGCATATAATGATCAATATAAGATTGCCAGGAATATCAGCAACAAGGTTTGCGACTAAGCTCCATGTCGCGGATAGCACTCATAGTCTATTTTGTCCAGGATATGCGGAGTCAAGGATACAGATTGAATTCGTCCGAGTCTTTAAGGTCTATCGAGTAAAGGTATCTATGCAGTTCATCATAGATGTACAAGAAACATCAATGGGAAAAAGATTGGTGAACTTCATCGTAATGTTCGTTGGGGGCACTGGGATAATATTGAGTGTACGATAAGTCGATGATCGTGAAATCGAGGTATTGAGGTATTGAGGAATTGGGTGTCTTTTCGATGAGTGAAGCAAAACTCTCTGATTTCATCATTTTCCATGGTGAGAATTTGTGTTAACGCTAATTTGTTGGTTTGGCTTGAATTCCAAACTATGCAACGTCTTTGACTAAGCATAACTTCTAGTCAAAAGTCCATTTTACGGGCCATGTATTTGTTCAAAAAATGGGTCATTGACTTGGAGATTATCCTGTTCATATATGACCGAGAACATCTTCGAATCACACTGTTGACGTCGTCGTCTTCGCTTAGATCATTCTGAAAAGGAGAGCCTGGCTCACATGACAATGCAACGTCACATGATATGACTTTTCCGGATTATCTCTCGACCGAAAATGTAACTTCATGTGTTCCACCAATTCAAGAATAACACACAGCAGCCGTCGGTATCATTAGCCACCATGTTGTGATAGGGCGATAGGCGCTCTTGTAGCACATTACGGAATTAACAAGCTTGCATCTTCACCTCTACTGAACACGTCCATATATCTGGGCGTGCCGCTTTCGAGATATCATTCAGGAAACAGAACAAACTTCTATCGAAAGATCGTTCTTCATATCATTCAATGTACTCCATTTCATGCGAATCAGAATTGACGGGTCTTGGCAGGAATTTTCATTGGCGTTTCACGGTGTCCAAACATGACCCATCGATTTCTGTCATTTTATTTGCGTTATTTGTCGTCATTGCTATTTTATTCATCATCGGGAAGCTTTAAAAGTTTGAAGTTTTATCTAAAGTTCATTGTTTGTAATTATAGATCGAGCAGGCAAGGGTTCAATTGAATGTTTCGAAGCTACATGTCCGTGATGAATTTATCAATCTCCGCCCGAAATACTCGGGGCATTCATGTCTTTGCTATCTTCTTTATTCTTGTGATTCAATTCTTTTCTATTGAAAGTCTTTACTCAATCCATTGATTACCGTTGTCATAATGACCAGACCCCAGTTTTACCAGTTCACATACTCGTTACTCGTCTTTAGGATCTTGATGCCGCCTTTTTTTCCTCGGTATCCTCCAGCCGTCAATTTCAACTAGCCCCAACAGGATGACCCATTGGAAGCCTCCTCGCAATACCATATTCATGAAAATCATCTGCTTTAAAAGTTCAATAAGTCTTTTGGGATAAACCACACACGACTGCAAGCGACTCCCACAAATCCTGACTACTCTCAAGGCACTTCCCTAACGCGAAGATCTGGGCTTCTAGCTGAGTATTGTCACTAGAACAACGAATTCTATCTATATTCAACTGCAGATTTTGTGCGAGGCATTCTTCGATACGAATGTATGGATGAATTCTGGAGACATGGCACAAGGGAAGATCCCACATAGATTAAGGCTGGACTTGTCTCACCCGACTACTACTGGTTTATCAAGTATTCACTTTCTACAATAATTCCTTCAAAGCCGCATGCCTGATGGTTACGGATACAGAAACAACTTGTTCAAAGCTTGGTTAGGCGTTAATGGGAATATCCGAATGGGAAGCGATACGAGATGGATATGGAGCTTTCAAACTCACACCTTAATTCGAATACTTCACGCACAGATCAAAGTAAATCTCTTACGCTGAAATCCCCTCTTCTTCCCAGACAATTTTATCTCGACAAGTAGAATCGACACACCTTCTAGGCTATCTTCAAACTCAAAACCTACAAATGTCTACCCCTATCGTCAGCATCATAACCATCAACACGCCCCACAAACCGCGCATTCTTGCAGAGATCTACCATTCCCACGCTTTGTCCTGCCAAAACACGACCAATTCTCTTTCCACGACTTCTCAAAACCTTCCGCTATGTGTCCACAGAATCCGATATTCATTTCAGGAGCGATTGCTAGTAGAATAACACGTACGAAACATGCCACGGCATCTCTATCGCCATCTTCTACCAAATAAACCCTTGCTTCACTCGAAAACACATCTCAAGAAACAAAGTTAAGGACCCCAAGGGGAGATGAAGCGATGAAAATGGCACCGGGAACATTGTTATAGGACAGTGGCACGATAACCTTGACACGACTGTAACCAAGACTGGGTCCACCAGTCAGCGAAGAGCAATACGCACGACGCGCTTGCGGATCAAGTTGGAGGAAGATGGAAAAGAGACTCGATGCATGGATTGAGAATCTCGCGGTGGGATACTGTACGGCGCATCTGGATTTACGATACGAGACTCATCATGTTCTTGAGACAGGGCAATCATCATAATGTTGTCGGTAAATCTATTATCTTAGAAACCCTGAATCTCAAGTATTCGCTTGATTCCTGTGATTTTCACCCATTACTTTGACCATCATTTCCTACTTTGGGTTTCTGTTTCGCGTGTATACTTCCCTATCAGTAAACAATGGGGGCTCGGAATGATTTAGGCACATACAATGAAAAAGAAATGGCAGAAATATTAAACTTAAAATTCTTTCTCGTTCATATACAACTGATCAATGGGATATTAATTAGCTACCCGAGTAGTTATCTAAGATCACCACGAGCACCCAGTCAGACGTAAACTGTCATGCATTCTTCGACGCTTTTTGTATCTGTCTGTTTGTCTCTGCATAAACTTCTCATCATTTCCCTCATCGAGGACGATATAGATAGATAAATATAGGATTTTCCATCCCATGGAAAAGAAAAGATAGCAACGCCCAACTCCACGCTCAAGCAAAAATCCGAACCCATGATTCCCGTTTCCATACATGCAAATTGCACACTACAGTGCACAGTCGCACAGGTTTCCCATTCTAATCAACACACTTCACTCCCACACACACAAACACAACCAAACCTACTTAACCCTCGCCATGATCGTCTCCCCCCCTCTCTCCAAATCTCCCATCACATTCCCCCACCTCTCCTTCACCCCCTTAAGCATACTCCTGTCAAAATCATCTCTCGCTCTCAACACCGCCTCCACCCAGCCAAGCTGTAAATCCCAATATTCCCTCTTGAATCCCTCTACCACATCCTGCACTGCTCCTTTTTCACACTCCAGAATCTCGAGGAAACTTTGCGTCACCGCCCATTTACCTACGATGATATTCCTTACATCTTCCGTGAGATACGTATTACTATTGAAGAATTCAAAGGCTGTTGAGACATCATTGAAAATTTTATCTTTAAATGGATCCGCTCTCTTGAATTTCGCGCCTTTGTTACGGACGCAGCCGAGATATTGAATGAGGAGTTCGATGGCGAGTTCCTCGATAAAGATATCTAGCAGGGATTGATGAAGGACGTTCTTGTAATCGTTGATATATTCTTCGAATGTGACAATCATTTGCTTCATAGCTGTATTTGTATACCATTTTGGCGTGAAGAAGTCCGGCATGACGGTTTTGAAATCGACGGCGAAAATCAATGTTGCGAATTTAGATATGCAATGGGTACTTAGATCGACATATCCATCGTTTAGACTAGTAATCTCGACGTCTACTCGTTCGAGGTATGTAGTTGAAACGAGCGGTTCGAATTTTTGTCTAAAGCTCGTAAGGTATCCGAATCGTCCCTCATCTTCATTATCATCAATACAAGCGATTTGATCGTTAGCAGTAGCAACAAGCCAATCCTGTAAAGCTTGGAAACCCTCCAGTTCAGTAGTTGCATTGAAGTATTTCGCGGCTTCAATATCAAGCATTTCTTGCCATGTTTGTTGACGAGTCTTCAGCCGCACGATCATGATATCAACCACCCCTTCAACGATATCCATTCTCTGACTAGCACCCGCAGCATCAATTTGTTCACGTAACATACGCCACATATCGACCAAGTTCTTCGTTCGAAAGTATCCATATTCATCCTGATCCAAATTCGAACCATCCACGTTCCTCCCATCGAAATCTTTCTTTTCTGTGGCGAAAATCCGATCAAGCCATTCATCCAAGTATTTGATAATGATCTGTTCGAAATTCCTGATCATTTCCTGTTCTCTTCCATCTATAACATGCGGCTTTAATTCGTCCTTTTTAAACCCTAGCTTATTCATTTTCGTATAGTACTTTTCCGGCCAGTTCAATATCGCCAAATTATTCGCCTGGGTCGTCTCTTTATCGTCGATCATATCAATGAGGAAATCATGCATCAACTGATGATAAATATTCCCATATGTCTTGAGGATTTTCCATTTCTTCGGCATCAGTGGTACCATCCCCTGTTTAACCGCATTCAGATCGTTGAAGAACCATCTCAAACCCTTTTCCAATTTCGAGGGATCCTCCAAAAACGTCTGTTTTGTCCCTTCAATGTCCGCCTCGGCCTTAAGCTTAATAGCCATCAAAAACTTTTCCTTATACCCTCTCGTACTCTTCGCCCCGTCCGTAATACTCTTGAATCTCGCCGCCATCTCCTTATGATCCTTCAACGCCTCCTGCAGTGCCATAACCCTCTTGTCACTCTTCTCCTCAGCCTCAATAACCACTGCCAATCTTACCACCAGACTGCTATTCCCCTGCACAACCACCTCTATCAAATTCATAGCCACCTTCCCAATATGTTCATCAAACCAATCAATCGTATCATCCAGCCTCGCAAAGTAATCCTCCAACGTTCCCTGCAGACCCGCATCATCAGCCCTCAATATCTGTTCCATAGCATCATCCCTAATATTCCTCAACTGCGTCAATTCATAATGGATCGCGAGCAAATTCCCCATATTATCCTCATCCGCATCGTCTTCTCTCAAAAGACCCTCCACCTTCGTTAACCTCTCATTAAAATCCACCAAATTCCTGCGCATCGTTTCTACCGCCATGAAATTCCTATGCGTCTGGCTCACCAGATTAATATTCGGGAAATCCTTAATCATATTCTGCGCCTCGGCGCATAGCTTATCAATCTTCATCATCTCATCCTTGATCAACTGCACCGTTCGTTGGCCATCGGTAATCCCATGCATACCCGCCTGAGTAACTTCGAGTTGTTCTTTCAGACCAGAACGCAATTGCGAATCGACAGCGGATTTCTTGCGCGTATATTCGAGTTTTAAGGCGGGAATTTTGTCGAGGTCGTCGGGGTGGTGGAGGAGATCGGAGAGCTTGATGGAGGAGACATCCATGGTCATTTTTGCGGTGGTTTGGGAGCTGCAGGAGCTCAAGAAGGAGGGGAGTAGGGGTTATGCGCGCAGATCTTGTTTAAGACCAGATAGAAAAGTATAGCTCTCGCAGAGCTTTGTTAGCAATTCTAAATTTCTAGGAAATGGGTCATAGAAATCAAATCAAAAATCCGTGCAATCAATAGAAAGTTCAATGGTGTATGAGACATTACGTGCATAATCCTAAAACGAGGACTAGCGTGGCATGTAACGGCGGAAAGAATTCCCGACTCCCGAGAATCCTGGTTTGATATTTACGATTTATTTCTCCCGATGGAACTTTCGATATACTGGCAACGGCGACATTTACAGTGCGGGGACAAGCCATTGAATTTTGTGCTGATATTTGCAAGGTGTGTTATTACATTTAGTTCTTGCTTCTTTTATGCGCACTGCGATTTACAATTTCCACTCCTCCCATTCACTTCTTCCTCTCCTTCATCTCAGAACAACCCCTCTAACCTCTCTCACAGGACACCCAAACCCACAACAACCACATAACCACTACCCACAATGTCCACCACTACCGCGGCCCCTCTCGCCCGCGCCATCCGTTCATCCAAACCCCTCCCCTCCAGCCTCCATCAAATCAGCAAAAACGCACCCAAAGCCATCTCCCAAACCTCTCCATCCACCACTCCCTCTTCATCCCCAACCAAAGTCTTCCACCAAAAGCCCTGGCAGAAATCCGCTCCTCCTACACCAACATCCTATTTCCGCATTACCCTCACCCGATCTGCTATTGGTCTCCCAAAGAAATCCTCGCGTGTGTTGAAGTTCTTGGGATTGCATAAAAGAACGAGTAGTGTGTATCATCCTGTTTCTTCCGATATTGCAGGACAGATTATGAAGGTTAAGGAATTGGTTGAGGTAGAGGAGACTAAGGAGAAGAGGAGTAAGAGGCAAGAGAGGGAGAGCAGGAGGCCAGAGAGTGGGTTTATTGTTGAGAAGGAGTTGGAAACGAGTGTGGTTTGAGGGGTTGAGGAAGAGAGAGATGGAGTGCACGGGACTAGGAGTAGAGATAGCATGGAAGAGAATACAAAGGAAGATTGGAATGGAGGGCTGGTTGGAGACACTGGAAATTGAGCAGGCGATACCATATATAAAACTGTATATTCGATTTGGGATGGGACGTAGTTGGTCTGCATCGTATTTGCGATTAAGATTGGGATAATCTCAATGCGTATGAGGAATCAGGGAGACTTTCAATGCAGAATAAATACGCATTACTCGCGATGACAAGCAGTCAAACTCAGTCCCATCCACTCTTTTTCTTCCACGATAGACAGCTATATCAATCGCCCTCCCCCCTCCACCTTCCCCCTCCCTTCACCCACTTCACATTACCTGCAAAGCATCACTCTCACACACTTCGCTCAAACCGCTCTCACATAACTGGAGTTCTGAGTCTTTCTGTGCACAGCACACACACATGTACCATAAAGCATAGTTAGCTATGTGCCAAACAAAAAGCATATAAGGGTGGCGAGGATGTGAAATCGCACTTACAATAGGGAACATCAATTTCAACATCAATACGCTACAAATTGCAGATGAATTTCTCACACGTACGTGGAATTGTGGACCTCTTTGTCTTCATCTTGAGCAGATCCAACATGCATATCACTGAGAGGACTTCACATGCACTGGTTGATGTCCACATGTGAATCACAAGTTCGAACACAACTAAACGAGGCTGAGATGAGAAGTCATGTATCTGTAATCGTAATGCTAAACTACCAGCTCAAGAACAAAGTCGAGGGTTCTTGAACTCAACATAATCGAATATCTGCCATGCCAACAATACCACCCATTAGAATCTACTATGATCCATCCATCAATCCATTCAAATCAGATTCTTTCACATGTATGCTCTCTTAATCTGTCTAACTGTCCTGCCACGCCAGATGCTGGTTCGTCAAAATCTTCCCTTCCCATCGCTATCGCAGAAACAAACAGCAGTGATAGCAGAAATCTGCCAAACAATTTTCCTTTCCTTCCCTAAATTCGACTTTCGATTGAATCTTCCCTTTCACCCACTGTGATACAAGATTCATTTCTTCCCCTAGAAACAAAAGCCAGAAAGAAAGCAAGCGCCATTCTCCATTCCATGCTATTATACATCTCCATCTTCACCTATCAATTCACTTTTGCATGTTTGCATCTTTAAATCTCGAATGCAAGACATAACTCTCTAGTTTGGGTTTCGAGCCTTGTCAACATATTCTGCGCCAGGTGTCTCGTATTCAGTGACAAAGTAGTCTTTAGCATTCTTGCCGATCCAGTTGGTCAACTTGCTAAGTTCCTCTCGGAGACGATTAACGGATTGTAAATCCATATTGGTTTGAGCAATGAGTTCAGGCAGAGTGACTATATATTATCAGTGATGTGTTTCTAAGGAATGGGATGACAGTCTTACCCAAAAGACGGCACAAGTGCTCAGCACCATAGGTATCACATGCAGAGCTCTGTGGATATGAATCATCATCCCATAATTCACGGAAATCCATGTGCTGTTGACGTTCAAATCTGTAGGTAATCGATTAGAGACAAGTAGAGAGAGGTATTATCAGAGTGAACACACCTGTACAGAAGAATGCGAGGAAGGCATCTTTCGAAATACTCCTTCAAACCAGCGACAATCTCTTCCAGGATATCCGCCTGGGCACTTCCAACGGGTCTCTTTGGTTTTTCAAATTCAAGCCAATCATTTAAGATTTGATCAACAGATTTATGGTGGGGTAATGGTACAAGTTGTTGATTCTTAGTGACATTCTCCCAGTCATCAACAAGAATTGCTTTGATATGATCGGGGATGACAAGGTTGATGGATGGTCGATTATGAAAGTTTTCTTCCTGTAAATAGTTAAAATCACGTCTTTCCATGACAATGTTTGAATTCAAAATGCGTGGTAACGTCTTCTTGGTGGTTTTGATAAGACGTTCTCCTCTGACTTCAGAGGTACTCTTCGTTTCCTTTCAAATTTCACTTTCTTCTCAATCTCTGTGCTAGCAACTGTGCCATTGTTTTTTGGGGAAGCCTTTTGAGCGGTCTTTGAGACAGCCTTTCCTGCAGTCTTCTTCAGGGCAGATTTATTCGACCCATTGTTAAGAATGAGCCTAGGCTTCTTTGTGGGAGGCTTCATGATCTCTTCTATGCGCTCTTCACTGTATGATAAAGGGAAAAGTCTCTTTCGCTTTAGTTGTGGGGGAGGTAATTGATTATCGTCAAACAATCGACCAGCGATAGGATTGATTTGACCAGGCCTCGTAATCTGCATACCACTGGCGCAAAGGTTTGGTGTCGGTACCCTTTTTGATGTGGGCTTGAAGTTTAGGATGAACTGGAGCCGCTTTCTCTTTCGGTTTGTAGACGTAGTTAGATTTATCCAGTCGATATGTTTCAGGATCTCTAATGAGTTGTTGAAAATGAATTGAAAATCCTTGGGTGGTCTTGCATCCAGATTTGTTTTCGGGACCATGGAGTCGTTTTTGAGAAATTTATCGACATCCCAATGCTCGCTCTTAGGATTGGCCCAATCTGGGTTCTTTCCATTCATTATTGGCTTTGGCTTGATAACCGTTTAAGTTGCCAGAGTCAACGATTGAGCGATCATATGGTTGTGCTGGACATTTCTCTCTCGCACTTCTCCGTACATTAACTGGTGGTGCAGCCAAATTATTGACTGCCTTTACAACGGCCTTTGCGACCGCCTTGACCTTGGTCTTTGCCTTGGTCTTCTCTTTTACCTAAGTGGTCATGAGTGATTGAATAATTGAAGGAGTGGAGGGCGACTTACATTGATCACTTGCGGTTTCTGGATCTTATTTTGAGAAGCTGAAATGCCGATTTTCTTTGCAAGACGTTTCGCACGAGCTTTAACAGCTGGTATAATAGGGGGACCCATCTTTAAAGAGTTCTCAAGAGAAGGTTGGAAGTGATATTTGAAGGATGATCTTGATGATTTTGCTGTCGTGATTGATTGAAATTTGAGAAATTGAATATTATGGAAGTGTGATTCAAAAGGCGCAGTAACAGAATGTTGTCAAATATTGGTAGCGATCGAAAGCAAAAGAAAAGTTTTGAATGCCCAGCAATCTGATAATTTTCTTATTGCGTTGTATCGAGTTCCTGAAATGATTGTATTGATGGGGAATCAATTTATATTGTTGTTTGGCGACAACTTTAACAATAAGAAGAAGAGAGAGGATGTTTCGATTTTCCAAATTTGGCAAGCGAGAACCCAAAATTTGAGAGAAGGTCAAACTAGCCATTCTGGAAACACTTTTCGCATCTCTTATACCACCTCATGTGGTAAATTGATGTAATTATTGAACCCTCCAAAACCACCGTGAAAATAAGGAAAAATGAATCAAAATGATATGGGGGAATTGGGAATTGGGAATTTCAGGATTTCAGAATCATAATGTCAGAGTGTAAAAAATTGAAGGATTCAATCGAAATAAATAAACTTACTTGTTCCAAATCATAATCACGATTTCTTCTTGGACCACCTCTTCCACCTCCTTGAGCTGCTACACTGGCATGTCTTTCTTCACTTCCACGACCTGAACCAAAATCCGATCCATTTGCTCGTCCACCAATTTTCTTACCACCTGCTGAAGTTGCGGACTTGGGCTTCTGGCTCATCTTCTTCATCTCTTGATGAAGTTGAGCGGCAAGTTCTTTATTATCGTCATTAAACTTCATTACTCGATCTTGAGGTACCCAATCATCCCAACTGTTTTGGTTCTCATGGTTAGATTCTGCTTGATGTCTTGGTCTGGGCGAATTGCCATCCGATTCTTTCAAAGTACGAATACGAGGTCGAAGGGATCGTGATGGCTTTGGAGGGGAAGTTTGGGACATGTTGATACAGATAATGAAAATTGGGGGAAAAGGGGAGATTGAGATCGAGTTGAATTCGAAAATGATTTTAGTGGTTCGAACTGTACAATATGATATGATATGATACGATACCATAGGGTACGATACATAAAATACCATACGGTCTCAATAAAGTATATCGTTATCAATGTCGATAATGAAAGTTTCGAAGGTTGTATATGTTCCAAGTTCCAAGGCTTCTTCACTGGGATTACAAGGAAGGTAGGAGGCGGTATACTCAACTGTTCGACCATCTCGCTACATATCATCCAGCTTTGGAAAGTAGCTCAAAGACGAGGTGAAGTGCGTTCTTTCTCTTTCTTCTCTCCATTCGTCTTTTTTTCATCAAGATAATGAAACAGATGACCCAGGAAATTCGAAAGATTCTCATGAATTCAGAATTAAATTTCACTTACGTTGCTTTCCATCTATTCAGAAAAAATCATGTTAACACGTTATCTCCTTACAAAAAACTAATAGTATATATGCACATATGTACATATACACCTAGGTATATATCAAGATTTAGAGAGAATTTCTTACCCCTTATAATGAATCTTGCATTGCCAGCTAGAGCCATCTTCTGTTGGTCTCGTGTCTAAAACCTTGGCTTCATACAACAAATCATGATGAAAGCAAAGAACTTTTTCATCTTTCGCATAGGGAGCGACAGGTGGTCCGGATTTTGATGGTGCCATGATTTCCGGTCCGATCTAATAAGGGATTTTGATGAATGTAAAAAGTATTAGATAAGTAAGGTATTTGGGTTGTAATGCTAATGAGGTATGAGATTTGACAGCAAAGCGATATCGGAATACTACCAAAGTTTGGAAGGGAAGTTATTGGAGATTAGAAGATTGTCGTGTGCAAATGATGATTATGTTGTGAAGAAAGGGAGTTGGATAAGATTAGAAAATCCGTTTCCATTTCTGTCTGCTCTTAAGACAACCGAGAAGTAGCAAAGCAAGCGCGTCTTTGACAAAAAGTACGTGTCACGCGTGTTTTTTAATTTATGTACCCCAGGTTTATGTGATGTGTTAAGGTTCAATAATTCATCCATGTTTCTAGGTGACATCTTCCAGAAGAGTTTAATTTTCTGAGGATTTGAGTCTTTGAGTATAACCTCATTTTCGTCTGTTTGCTTTCCCAATTCCGAGCTTTCTAGCCATTTTCATTTCAACAATACATCAATGCTTCTTACCCCTTGAACCAAAGTACTAGAAACAAAACACTTCAACTCTCCTCAATTTCCCAAGCACCACAATGCCACCCACCGAACAAAAAATTCTCACCACCTTCCTCCTCCCTCCATCCTCCCTCCCCCAAATCATCTCCCTCGCCTCCTTCACTCTCTTCTTCCCGCGCGCTGTCCAATCATCCCCTGCTATCCGAACTCTCTACCGGGACCTCCAGCATCAGCGCGCACAAATAATCGACAATGTAACCACGGCAATCGAGCAAGAAGTACGAAGAGGAAGCGCGATGGAGAGGGCTGTTGTGAGGAGGCGGAGAGGGGATGAGAGAGTTATAGAGGATGATGAGGTGGGGGTTGAACGAGCTGTGAGTGTTTTCCTTTCCCTTTTCTCTTTTCTTTAACAATTACCATCCCCTCTACCTGTCCATCTGCCTCTCATTCAAACACAATTAACACAGCTGACGAACTCCAGCTTTCCAACTCGGTTCAAATATCCAACCTCCCATCTTCCCATCCCCACTCCCTCCATTCCATCCTCCCTCCCCTCGAAGCAGCAATCGAAGATCTCGAAGACGAAATCGCGCGACTAGATGCGGAAAGCGAAGAACTATTGAACGAGATGAAGAATATTGTTGGTGGATTGAGTGATCTCCGGTATGGACGGCTTGCGAATCCGGGGATAAGGGGACAAGTGTTGGAAGGTTTGGAGAGAGTCGAGGGGGCTGCTGCGATAGTAGGTGGAAAGTGATTAGCATAAATGGAACATGGATAGATGCTACCAGTGGAACGCTCTGGGGGAGAGGAAAGACGATACGGCCATTGAGGAATTGAGGGCGATGAGGGTTCGCAGTGTTTTAGGATACGACCCGCGACGAGGCGCAAGGTTGGCGCATTGCGCATTGAGGATTCGGTATCAAGCCAAGTGCGCTCACACAGGCGCAAAGACCGCAGTAATGCATGACTACCAAGAGTGAAGATGTGTAGGTGGTCACACTTTGGAGGTTTCGGTATATATTCCCCTTCTCCATAGTCTGCCTCCACGGCAGTGACTCCCAGAGGGCCAGCGGAGCGTCATTCACAGGCACAGTAGACATGGCAAGGAATTAGCAAGGCGTAAGGTTTGAAAATTATGATACCCATTTCTCCATTCATTAAAATTTGTTTAGATAAGCTACGTAAATTGCATTCCGGCCACCCGTCGCTTTGAAAACATGCATATCATGTGAGAATTAAATCCTCCACTGCAGTCTTCCCCAAATTTATAATCATGACAGACATTTCTTAGTAGGTAACTCCATCTCCAGCTGGAGCAGCGCGTGGGCGAGCTCCAGCGGCTGCTGCAGGTCCTTGTGGACCGAGAGTTCGCTTGCTCCTAGAAATGCCATTAGTGGGATGCTTAGAATCCGAAAGTGAGAGGAAACTTACATGATGGTTCTGCTCAAGAATGAAATACCAATCATGAACATCCAGCTGGGAACAACTGCGAAGAACCAAAGTACGTATCCAACTGGAACTGCGGCACCGTATTGCGCAAGTTCACCATCGAAAGGGTGGAACCAACCCTCATAAGGTGCCTTTTTCTTGTACGATTTAGTTGAGTGCAAATCGGTGAATGTAGTGACGGTTGTAGAAGTAGTGTTCAATGGAATCGTGATAATAGGAACTGGGGATCCTGGAGCCCCAACTTCCATGGTCCACAAATGTGGTGGTCCTGCGCCCCACGAATTGCAAAGAACGGGTTGTTCGTCGCAATTTAACATTGCCATGTGAGGAGCTGTGGGGTCGACAGCGAAAAGGGCAGCGGATTCATTGAAGCCCTTTTCGATTTTGCCGCAGAGACCAAAACAGGTTTTGTTTCCGCCAGTAGCTAGAACCCACCATTCTTGCGGGAGCGACGACTCGGGAGTGATGCTTCCGCGGATAGTTTCTTGCCAGGTATCGAGGGTAAGATGGTGGATTTTTGCTTCGCCTACTTTGGCAGTTGCGGCTTCGAGGGGAGATTCGGAGGCTGGAGAGGGGATATAGGATTGAAGTTTGCCGAACCAGTATTGAGCTTGAGCTTTGGCTTGGTCGAGAGGAGATTCTTGGGCTGCGACCAGGAGGGGGAGGGCAAGGACGGAAACGGTAGGAATGCGCATTTTGGCGATCTGTTATGGAATGGATGATTGAGGGGTGAAAGCTGTCAGAATTGAGGGGGGTCGAGAGACTATATAAGCAGGTTTCTGATTAGGAAGCTTTCTGCGATTAGGCTGGAGATCTGCGCTGATTGGCAATAGCTAATTGAATGCGCCGCGATAACACTTTTCGCGAATGAGCTGATCAAATTAAAGATTGAATTTGAGGAAAGGAGGGAGAGAGATATATGATGATATGAAATGGTGAATTTACAAAGATTATAAATGAATATAACAGAATTTATATATCGCTTATAATGAAGCTCTCCAACTTGCGTGATGATGAGGCCAGATGGTTTTTAATGGAAATATTAATATTAATGGATACCCTCGAGATACCTGGAAGTACCCTTTCACCCAAAAGAAGCTCCACAGCATCTTTTCGAGGGGGGATGGGACGGATGTGATGGGAGAAAGAACCAATCAACAATTCGAGTGACCCCAGCTTTGCTTACTTTGCTTGCCGCTAGTCTCTTTTAGTACTGGTGCTTCTCAGAGTGGATGTCATCTCTATCTCTATCGCTATTCGCTAGCTACGGTAAGCCTTACACTTTTGGTCTGATCGCTATCGATTATCAGAAACTTTTTTTTTATCAGAAGCATTTTTTGATTTTTTATTGCGGCAGTGAAGGCGCAAAGAGTAATTAAGAAAGGTCTTTCACAATGTCTTTACAGGAAAAGCTCGACAAGATACGCTCGCCGAAGCTTCAGAATCAAAAACAGGTATGTCTAAAGAATTGCAATTATGGAAATGTCTCTGGTGATGTTGTGCACTTTACTAACTGATATCAACGTCTAGACTGCCATTGTATTGTCTGCGGTTGAAGATACACTTGAAGATCAAAAAACAGAAGCCACTCCAACTGGATATTTCGCCGCATTATTGGCACTCTTAAGACAGGCTTGTCCTCAAGATGGAGAAGTTAATAAAGATTTAACAACTTCTGTTGTATATTTACTCGATATCATTACACCTTTTGCTCCGCAACCACTCCTCCGATCAAAATTTACTCAAATTCTCACAAATCTCGGTCCCGCCCTTATATTACCAGAAGCAGATGCCCCTCTCCTCAGACCTTCGATAGGATGTCTCGAATCATTATTACTCGCACAAGATTCCACGGCATGGGAATTGGAAGTCATGGCAATTGGGCCCAGAAGAGCCATTGCTGGATTATTAAATTTCGCCGTGGATCACAGACCTAAGATCCGAAAGCGTGCGCAAGAAGCACTTGCAAATATTCTGAAGAATCCTCCGCCAAGTCCTTCTCTCGATCATCCTGCAGCGGATATGTGTGCGGAAACTGCTTTGAGAAGTTTGAGCGATTTGGCGGCCCAATCGCATCAAGCCAGGAAACAGAGAAAGACCAGCGCAACTGCGGAACATGAACCAGCTTTGATCCACGCATTACAATTAGTTAAGACTGTTGCAGGAGCATCTGGAGGATGGCCAAGTAAGAAGATTGAGGCATTGTGCGAGGTCTTGTTGAATATTTCGAAATCGAGCAATGAATATTTGGCGATGACTTCGTTCGAAGTATTCGAGATGATATTTGAGGGTATGGCAAACGAAACCGCGACCTCGAAGTTACCTCGACTTTTAGAAGTGATCTCTGAATTGAGACCTTCTCAAAACGATTCTCAACTCTTACCTCCTTGGATTGCTGTATTATCGCGGGGTTATGATGTTTCCGCTCAATTGGAGCCAGAGGAGACTTTTGCAAAATTACCTGAACTTTTCACAATGATCTCTGGATTCATGTCATCTTCATCGCACAGCATTCGAGTATCTGCTTCTGAATGTTTGATTTCATTAATGGCAAATTGCGTCCCAGATTCAGTTATTGCAGAGCCTTCGATTTTTGATGAGAAAGTCCTCGAGAAGTTGGCAAAGTGTGCAATTGATCTCTTGAGTGTGAAGTATCAAGCTGCTTGGATGGAAACTTTCAATGTTATGGGTTCCATGTTTGACGCTTTAAGATGGAGAGCAGACCCAATTTTATCCGAAGTCGTTCGCGCAATTGGCGAGCTCAGAGGTAGCGAGTCTTTCGCTGGCAAAAAGGAAGCGGATGAAATTCTTGGAAAAGCTATCAGAGCCATGGGGCCAGAGAGAGTTCTTAGCATTTTACCTCTCAATCTCATCAAACCAAAAGCTGGACAACCTGGACGCGCCTGGATGTTACCTATTCTACGAGACTATGTCAGTAACACGAATCTTCAACATTTCCGAACCGAACTCGAGCCATTGAGCCAAGCAATGCTACAAAGAGTTAGCGATCACGGAGCTGCTGAAAAGACAATGGATATCAAGATCTTCGAAACTATTGTCAAGCAGATCTGGGCCATTCTTCCTGGTTATTGCGATTTGCCATTGGATCTTACTGAAGCTTTTGATATCAAATTTGCGGAAATACTCGTTAACATTTTATACGGACAAGTTGATCTACGTTCAGATATTTGCAGAGCTCTCCAAACTTTGATTGAGTCTAACCAAGCAATTATTGCCATTGAAGGGGAAGAAGACTTGCTCCTGCAGAGCCGTGTTTCAAAGGCCGTTGCGCAAAAGAACATTGAGCACTTAGCTACTTTCGCGAGCAATATGCTTTCTGTTTTGTTCAACGTCTACAATGAAACATTACCACAATACAGAGGTTTCATTTTGCAATGTATCAACGCATTCCTTAGCATCACCCCTACTCAAGAACTTATGGAGACATTCGAACGGGTTAGTCAAGCATTAGGAACATCGCTCGCTGAAGCTGGTGCTCAGACTCAAGCAGAGAAGCAAAAGCAAAGACAACAAAATGCGGCTAACAAGATGCCACCCACGAGTCACAGTCTCATGGATTTGGTAATCACAATCTCCATCTATTTACCAAGAGATAGTTTCAGCACTCTTTTCAATATGGCAGCTCTTATTATTATCAAGGATGATGATCCTCAACTTCAGAAGAAGGCTTATAAGCTCATTCCTCGTCTTGCTGAGTCGGAAACTGGAAAGGCCGCATTACAAGAGCGTAGCACTGATCTTCAGGAGCTCCTTTTGAACAGTTCCGAGAAGGTATCCACACCAGCAAAGCGTGATCGCCTTGCTGCTATCTCCGTTCTTATTCCTTTCCTCCCAGCAGACTCTCTTCACTTCATCCCAGCTATCCTATCCGAGGTCGTAATCTCATGTAAGGAGACAAATGAGCGTGCTCGAACTACAGCTTTTGATCTCCTCATTCTGATGGGAGAGAAAATTGCTTCATCTTCTGGCGCCATTATCGACAATAGCAAGGTATCTCACATGCCCGACGATGCACCATCTGTAACCGCAACCCTCGAGGAATACTTTACCATGGTCAGTGCCGGTCTTGCCGGTAGCACACCTCACATGGTATCTGCGTCTATCACTGCTCTCACCCGTATCCTGTACAACTTCCGTGAATCTCTATCCCCTGAAACTGTTAGCGATCTCGTCCAAACCATGGACCTTTTCCTCACATCTAACAATCGTGAAATTGTCCGCAGTGTCCTTGGATTTGTCAAAGTCTGTGTCATTTCTCTGCCTTCTTCTCTTGTGCTTCCACGTCTTGAAAGTCTCATTCCTAATCTCATGGTCTGGAGTCATGAGCATAAAGCTCATTTCAAGGCAAAGGTTAAGCACATTCTCGAACGTATGATTCGTCGTTTTGGTGTTGAGATTGTCAACAAGTATTGTCCAGAAGAAGACAAAAAGCTCATTACCAATATCCGCAAGACTCGTGAGAGAAGAAAGAGAAACAAGGATGCTGCCAAGGAAGCAGGCGAAGATAGTGACGAGGAGGGAACTGGTGGAAAGAGAAGAAACAGATTCGAGAACGAATATGATGAGGCTCTTCACGGAAGTGATTCCGAATCTTCTGGTTCTGATGTTTCAGATGATGAAGTCCTCGGCAAATCAAGAAAGAAGGGCGGTAAGAAGGCTGCTGGCGGGAACCAATATATCGTGGAAGATGATGATGAGCCACTTGATTTGCTTGACCGCAAAGCACTTGGTAGTATCTCAACCACCAAACCTGTAAAAGCGCGAACAATTACGAGAACAAAGGCAAAGGTGGACTTGGATGGAAAGTTGTTGCTCGGAGGTAATGATAGTGATGATGATGATCAAATGGTTATCGATACTCCGGCAGAGGAAGATGGTGGTGTGGGCGCTTATGTTCATGCATTGAAGGGTAGAGATGCGCCGAAGAAGGGTAGAGGTGGAAGACTTAAGTTCAGTAACAGGAAGGGACAGGATGAGGATGATGAAATGGACGTTGATGAGGATGAGGTGAAGGCTGTCAAGAAGAGCATTGGTGGGGATAGGGAGAGGGGAAGGGGTGGAAAAGGAGGTGATAGAGGACGAGGCGGGAGGGGTGGTGGCAGAGGAGGCTTTAACGCTGGAAGGAGAGGTCTGGGTGAGGAGAAGAGATCAGGTGGGGGTGGTGGAGATCGTAGTGGAAGGGTTATGAAGAGTCCTAGGGGTAGAGGAAGAGGGAATGGTCATCCAAGGAGATAAACGGATCTTGAGTAGCATGATCAAGATGGGGAGATGAGGAAAAGTAATGACTTATAAAATAGCATTTGTTTGGAGTTATGGATATGGGATGAATCAAAATGGTCTTTATATACTCATGTGTTCAGTCAAAAAGTACACCTGCTTGCTCAAGTGTTGTTTGATATGTTATCATGGAAAAATCTACATTCGATACATTCAATGTGAAAGAAAAACCGAAATCAAGCGCAATGAAACAGATAGTGAATAGTGAATCAACCCACCCCATGCTACCCCTATACAAACCTCTTGACCCGACTCAATCGTGGGAGTGAATACTCAATCACATTCACTTCCTCTCACACACGACGGCGCGTCCAACAAGGTCAAAAATCCTCAAATCAAGCCGAGGCTACATAAATTATCAGTGCGCTTTTATGTACGCGATTTTCGTGTCTCGACGCGATTTTGCCAGTGTTCAATCAGAAACGCCCCGAAGGATTGACAACGCAATTCTTGGTCAATATCCCCTGGACAATTTTTTCGAGATCGCGCAATCTTCCTCTTTCGATATCTGGTCTAAATATTGTAGATCTACAAAAAGCCCCATGTCTGGTTGTGTAACCAGACGTGCAACAAAAGGTTTTTGAGAGTGCGAGGAAGCGAGGTGATTGGTTCGCAGAGTTGCATGGGTTGAGGGGAGTGGAATGTTAAAGGGCGGAGAACACCACGATCACAGCACAACAATAACACGATACGATTACGATACCAACATGGCAGAAGAAGGAAAGCGTAGGAGAGCAAGACCGTCAAATTGGTGGGAGGTGCAAGACAATGAAAATGAAAATGGGAATGGGGAGGTGGGAG